TTTTTTTGGTAATTTTAGGGAAGGGTCTATAAGGGTGTTCAGGGTCTCACTACTAGATCAGACTTATAGTGATTCTCCTGTTTACAGCCTCCCAAGAGCTGGGATTACAGGTATGCACCACCACGCCCAGTCTCAATCACTGTCTCAGTGCGCGCCGGGGGTGGGACCAGCACAGCAAGCCTGGGGATTGAACCCCCTGCCCCTGCACCTGCTTGTAGATGCTTTAATCCGCTGAGCTCAATGGCTGGCCCGAAACCTGAAATTTTAGTGAACATATCAACATTATTTGAAAGATGAAAATGTTTTGTCCCCAAATACTTGACTAAGATTGGTAGCTCCATGTTATGGTTTAGATGTAAAAATGTTCTCCCATAGTCTTCTGAGTTCAGATGGATCATTAGGGAGGGCTCTAACCTTATCAGTGGATTAACCCACTAATGAGTATAAGCTGAATGGGCTGCTGAGCGCTTGCTGCCCTGCTGAAGGAAGTAGCCATGGGGGGCTTCCGTGGCCAGGCCTGCCCGTGAAGGACCTGTCCTTTCGCTGGCACTGTACTTCCTGGTTGCTATGGGATGAGCTGCTGTGCTCCACAGTGCCCTTCCATCGCAGCGTGTCTACCTTGGCACCGGATCACCGTGGACTAAATCCTCTGAAACAAAGCTAAAAGTAAAACTTGACATTGTCTATGTCAGGTATTTTATCTCAGAAATAAAAAGGTAACTGACTCACGGATCACTTGTACCTCCAGATTCCTCCTGGCACGTTCCAGCACTTCATCCTGAGACCACTCTTTCCCCATCTGTTGCATTGCTGGTGAATCAATATAAATGAGTACTTTTTATGTCAACTAGCATTGAGTATATACTTGAATTAAATTTTAAGTCCTTCTGTGATTTTGAAACAGTAATGAAAGGGGCCGGGGAGATGGCTCAGTGGAATAAGCGCTTTCCTGGCAAGCTCAAGAGCATGAATTCAATCCCCAGTTCAATAAATAAATAAATAAATAAATAAATAAATAAATAAATGAAAGAAACAGTAATGAAGAACATAGGCAAAGAATATATGCCACAGTGGAACATTAACTTATAGCAGCATTTCTCGACTTCAGTACTACTGACATTTTGGGCTGGATAGTCTTTTAATATAGGGGCTATCCTGTGTGTTTTTATATCCTCTACTACTAAGTACTAGTAGTAATTGTCCTCCCCCTCCTAGTTGTGACAAGGAAAAATGTTTCCAGATGTTTCCTAATGTCCTTGGAGACCTTGATGTATGAGAATGAAAGGAAAAAAACAAGAGGGGATGGGGAATACATGCACACACACACGCACACACACACAATAGCTAAGATAATTGTACTACTAATTTCTGTTGGTTTGTGGAAAGGAACTGTTAATGCCTAATTGACCAGTTTTTCGTGCCTATACCTGGTAATCTGAGCAACTACTTTGGAAATAACAATATGCAATACAATAATCATTGTTAATTTCTTATCTTGTTTTGAAATTCTGTATCTTTTTTATTGGTTTTTTAAAAAATTCTCTTTAAAATAAAAAAAAATGTGTTAGGGAAAAGAAACTTCATTGGATGGTGAGGATTGGATTAGGGTCATTGATCATGGGCTGAGGTAAATGTGGCTCCGCAGTTGAGCAGTTGTCTAGTGTGTACAAGGCCCTGGATTTGATCCCTGGCACAACAGAATACAATAAAATATTTGATCATGAAGTAAATTTTGGAGAAGCAGTAAAGAGCATTCAAAAGGCATTGGGGAGCATAATAAAATAAGAATTAGAATACTGGTGAGTTAGAATCACTGGTAAAGATGATAGTGAATAAAGAGATGGTATCTAGAAAAAGGAACAGGATCAAATTTGAGAATCTAGCTTATGAAACAGTATGATCACCTATATCCTAGTGGTAGTGGTCATCAGGAATGAGGAGAATGCAGTATAAATCCAAACTGTTCCTTTTTCTCTGCTTGTACCATAAATATTAATGTTTTCAGGTTTCTGGTCTTGATTTCTTAATTGGTTCAGTGAGATGGTCACTCAGCATTCCATGTGAGTTAAATATTTATCTTTTAGATTTGGAAATAGCTTCATATAATTTTGATTTTGGGTACTTATTTTGTTTCTGTCGGAATGCTCTCTTCTGTTCTCAGGGCTTCAGTTACTGCTGCTGTCTGTGTGTGGTTAGTAAAACCTCTGTTCTAGCTCTCTCTCCATTGAACTCGCAGACCCGCAAAACCACCATTTCCGTAGCGGCATGTGGGCACTTTACACTTAGCATTCACCAGACTGAATTCATGTCTTCAAAACTGTTACTTTCTAGAACTTTCAATCAATGAAGTTACTCCCCTCACATACATATGTCAAATCTGTATCTTTTAGGCACTATGCCATTTAGGGCCTATTCACTGAGCAAAACAGATGCAGTCCCTCTTGTGTACTTATCTCTCAAATCTAGTCACTGGCCAAATCCAGTTGATGTTTCCTCTGAAATCTCTTTATAATTTTTTTCATGGTACTCTTGAGCACTGATCTTCTACAATTCCAGGGCTTTGTCTCCCTCACTTTTGTCCCCAGTGCTCACAAACACCCTCGTATGTCTTTTTTCTTTTTGTATTTTGTACAGGGTCTTCAGAGTCTCACTGTGTAGATTGGACTCATGTGATCCTCCTGTTTTCAGCCTCCTAAGCACTGGGATTACAGGCATGTGCCACCACGCCCAGTCTCAATTTCTGTCTTGGCATGCCTTGGGGCTAGGGCTGCCGTGGCACTTGGGGGATCGAACCCCAGTCCCTGTGTCTGCCTGAGCAGATTCTTTAATCTGCTGAGCTATCTGCCCAGCCCTTTGTTCAAAAATTTTAGCTTGAATATGAATAGTAGTTTGTTCTGCTAAAAAGATACAAAACTAAAATGAGGGAGCCAACAATATAGCTCAGCGGTCTAAAGCACCTGCTTAGGCAAGTTTAGGCAAGCACAGGGACCACAGTTTGATCCTCAGCACCACATACAGTGACAGCCCCGCCCCCAAGGTGGGCTGAGCCACACACACATAACCTAAAATGAAATTAAATGATGAAGTCTGGATTTTAGGAATCTGAATGATCATTTTAAAACATTGTCTTGACATACTGCTTAAATCTACTCTGAGGAATAACCTAATTAACCGAAACATGGAAAGTTGGTATTTAACTCTGAAAACTCTCACTTCTCTTTTCTTAGCAAACTACCTAATGTGTTTGAGTCTTATTTTTCGTATCTATAGAATGGGGATGGTAGTGTGAGCTCTATAGGGTGTTTCCTCTCAGAATAGCAACTTTAAGCATTGTCTAGTTTAAGTTGTTAAAATATCATTGTTGATGGGAAAAGTATTTGTAGTGGGTTTTAGAAAGTGGAAAATATTACCCTAAAATCTTTTTCCTCTTTGATAGCTCTTTGACAGATTGAGAGATGAAAATCCAGATTTTAGAGAGAAAATTGTAGCAATCAACAGTGAACTCACCCAGCCTAAACTGGCTCTAAGTGAAGAAGATAAAGAGGTCATCATAGATTCTACCAATATTATATTCCATTGTGCAGCTACAGTACGGTTTAATGAAAATTTAAGGTAGGTATTTGTGTAATATTTGAACTTACCAAGTTCCATTGAAAGTGATTGAAACTGCCATGTGTTAACTGTGGCTTTCAGTGTTCTTTATAGTATGCTAAAAAATTCCTTAGCTTAAAAACATATGATAATTTATACTTTTGGCTACAAGTTATGAATGTAAACATATGAGAGAGAAGGGCCACAAAGGAGAAGAGCCCTATGTGATGGGCACGTTCATAATCCCAGCACGTGGAGGCTGAGGCAGGAGGATTGCCTGTTTGAAGCTGTCCTTGACTTAGTTTAAGGCCAGCGTGAAGTACAGTGAAACCCTGTTATTGAGGAACAAAGAAATAATATAATTGGAGAAGATTGAAAAAACTGCTTTGGTAGCAATTAGGAATAAGCTATATTGGGGCCAGGGAGATGGCTCAGTAGGATAAGTGCTTCCCTGGCAAGCGCAAGAGCCTGAGTTCAATCCCCAGTTCTGCCAAAAAAAAAGGAATAAGCTATATCGGATGTAAGTTTAATTTGGACAATATTTCAGACAATATTTTCAGACTTCATTATTTTAAAAAATATAATGACTGTGCATTTAGAATAATGGTTCTTAGTTCAGAGCATTCTTTTGATAGTATATCCAAAAATACAGGTTTTATATTAATCTAATTTATAGTCTTGTGACAGTTAAATTAATGTAAACCTTTTAAGGTTTCAAAACTGTTTGAAGGCCTTCTCTTTAAAATACTTAAATTAAGTTATTATAAAGGATTGTGATATTATTTGCCATATTAGCTATATCACACACAGAAGTATCAACTTTACATAATAGGTGAGAGTTCTGTGCCAAAGCCTGACACTGTGGCTTGCCCTCTCTGGGCTTGGGCACTGTCATAGTCCCTCACATTTCTGCAGTAGTGCTTTCATAGGTTACTTTATTCCACACGCCCTCTATAAAATAGGAAATCCATTTTACAGTCAAGAAGCGGAGACAACACTGTATTGGAAGGAGAGGAGCTTTGGAATTACCTTAGTTCTCATCCTGACTTAGTTTATTAACTGATGAGTTCAAGCAAGTTATTTAACTTCTTTAAGCTTCCTCATCTATAAAATTAAGATAATATTTCTCAGAGCATTTTTTCTTCCTCTGTAAGTTTAAATGATGTGTCAGCTTGCTTATTTTACCAAAGAAAATTTGAACGTGCAGCAGTTAGCTCTGTTTTCCTTTCACTTCTTTCTGTGCAGCCAACAAGTAAAATACTGTGTCACAATTATGTGTTGGTGATTCAGAGATGGTGAAAGAATGTCATTAGAGCTATGTAGTATCTCATTTTCACAAAATGTGTATTACGCCTGTGTTTATGTTTTTCTGTATCTAGTAATTATCTGTGGATGATGTACTTGCAGCTAGGTTTTTAGTTTTGTCTGTATATATATGCTATTATGATCCCATATTAACCTTCAAATAAAAATGTATACAAATAAGACTTAAGAAACTTTAAAGGATTTGATACTCTCATCAACTAATAAAATAAAATTTTTATTTTCTCTTTAGAATTTTTTTCTTTGCATGTATGTGTTTTATATGTAAGTATAGTGATTCATTTTTAATGAATATTTGCAAGATTGTGAATGAGGTCCCTGGTTTTTATTTTTATTTATGTATTTTTTTTTTGGCAGAACCGGGGATTTAACTCAGGCCCTTACACTTGCCAGGGAAGTGCTTATTCCACTGAGCCATCTCCCTGGCCCCAAGGTCCCTGGTTTTTAGTTAGTGCTTTATCATGCTTAAAGTTCATTTGTATAAAATGGTTAACATGTTTTTCTCCCATGGTTCTGGCTTTCATTAATTTCTTAATAACTAAAAGAGCTCACACTGCTCTATTAAGCTTAGCATGTGTTTTAGAAAAAAAAGTATATAGGTAATGGCTAATTGTAGTTTAGTGTTCAGTGACTTAAAGGAGCAAATTCGATACATTTAAAGGGGAATTGTGATTTGTTAACAGGCAGCATTAATGAGGATGAATCTCATCAAAGTAACATTTAGAAAGGATATTCTTTTTATGTGCCTTTTGGGATTAAGGAGACTACCATTAATGGAAAGGATATCTTTTCATTATTCTATCCTTTTGTATTAGACACTTTGTAGGAGAAAAACTGTAGTTTTCGCTTCCTTATCAAGGCATGCATGCTCACTGACCAAGCCTTAGCCATTACACCAAAATTGTTTATGTGAAGCAATTTTAATGGATATTGATACCTAAATGGTGATGATTTTATTTATTTTTTTAATGTATTTAGGGCAGGGTCTACAGGGTCTCACTACGTAGATTGGACTTGTGATTCTCCTGTTTTCAGCCTCCCAAGCACTGGGATTACAGGCACGCAGCACCATGCCCAGTCTCAATTGCCATCTCAGCGCACCCTGCAGGCGGGGCCAGCACAGCATACCAGGGATCAAACCCCAGCCACTGTGTTCTGCCTAAGCAGGCGCTTTAGTCCACTGAGCTATCAGGCCAACCCCAAGACTTTAGATTTGAGCCAGACATTCTAAAATACTAGAGGTGGTGCTATAATAGCCTCTTTTAAAAAAAGTTATTCTTTATAACTATTTATTAAATTATTCCACAAATATAAAATTGCACAATGCTTTTTGTGCTGTGGAGAAAGGGTGCACTATTCTTGGTATATTGGGGAGAAACCAAGGCATAGTTGTACATAGCCCCTATTCACCAAGTCCATATAGTTACTAAAGGAGATAAGATATGCTACAGTAACTATTGTAGAAGGTAATAATGAGGCATAATCATACAAGTGCTGTGAGAATTAAGAGGATATGATTTTATATAGGCCTCGTAAATCTTTTTTTTTTTTTTTTTGTGGCAAAACTGGGGATTGAACTCAGGCCCTTGCGTTTGCCAGGGAAGCACTTATTCCACTGAGCCGTCTACCTAGCCCCAGGCCTGCTAAATCTTGAGATGGGAAATCATAGATAGGAAGATTAGAAATTATATGGACTGCAAAGATAGCTTTGTTGTTTTAAGTGTCTGCCTGGCAAAGCACAAGGACCTGAGTTAAATTTCCGGTACCGCATGCCATACTGGCCCTGACTAATCCCAGCCCTGTAGAGGCTGAGACAGGAGGATCACTACAAATCCAAACTGTGTAGCGAGACCCTGTACCAAATGAATAAATAAATAAAAATTTTTTAAATATTAGAAATGGTACACACTGACAGAAGGTGAGGGGTGAAGCAATATTAAGAATAAGATGAGAGGAAAAAAAAAGAATAACATAAGGAGTGACGTAGTTGATTGAGGGTCTGTTATTCCTTAGCTTAGACAGCTCCAGTAGCCACAAAGCAGGAGACCACTATGATGACAAAGCCATTTTTTTTTTATCTCCAAACCTTTTTCTATTTTTACTTTAAAACAGAATCTTGCTGGGAGTTGATGTGATGGCTGTAATCATAGCACTTGTTGAGGCTTAGACAGGAAGGTCTCCATAAGTTCGAGGCCAGCCTGGGCTGCATAGTGAGTTCAAAGCCAGTCTGTGTTACATAGCAAGACTCTTGTCTCGAAAAAAAGAATAAGCAAGCAAGCTGAGATTACATGCGTGGTGTCCCACTGAGCCAAACTGAAAAATAAACAAAAAATAACAGTTTTAAAAGGAGAGACAGGTGGGCAGGAGGTCTGGCTTGGTTTAAACTCCATCATAAGATTTCAAAAGTATAGAGCAAATTGAGGTTCCGAAAGTGGAAGCCTAAGGTATAAATATGGAAGTAGGTTTTCCAAAAGAAGTGGGCATTAAGATTGATTAGAAAAGACCAAGAAACTAAAGGACATTGATTGTCAAATTTCAGAGTGTGTTATTAATCTTATGAGAATAATTAGAAAATGTATAAAAATTTCAGAATATGTTATTAATCTTAAGAATAATTAGAAAATGTATAAAAATAACAGATTTCTGGTCTGCAGTTGTTAAATTCTGACACTCTAGTTATGGAATAACATCATAGAATTCTTAGTTTTAACAAAGTGTGTTAGTAGTGATTTAGGTGCTCTTGGGCCTGTATCCTACTTTTAGAACCACTGTTCTCACAGTCAGTTTTGGAGACATCTTTAAAATTACAGATACCTAAGTCTTTCTGGCCTATGATCGATTCTTTAATTGCTGAACATCTGTGTTTGTATTGTTGAAAAAAAAAAAAAAAACAGTGGCCATTATAATAGTGATAAAAATCTCACTTTGGCACTGTTCTCAGCGGTGAGATGAGGTGAAAGAGACTTGTATCAAAGTGGTCCGTCCAGGGAATGTATTCAAAATGCATTTTTATAGGCTTCATTTCAGACATTACAAGTGTCAGGGTAAGGTTTGGGAGTCTGCATTTTTAATAAAATCCCAGTTATATGTTATGCCAAGTATGGTAGTGTTAAGGTCTCTACAAGTTATATCTAGATTTTTGAAGAACCTTAAGTGTCTTCTAAGAAGAACAAGAAAATTTATTGGTAGTTCAAGTTGAACTTTTTTTTTCTTTTTGAAGTGATTTCTCTTAATATATAATGAAAGACCACAATTGCAAAGATACACTCATTTTATGCACCCCAAAAAGTCTTTAGCATTTATTATTCCATATAACTAAAATATAATGAAACATTCTTGTTTAGTAATATATCTGATCTAATGTGTCAGGATGTGAACCTGAAGTTCAACAAAATAGAAATTGGGTCAGGGTAAAATAGACTGAGGTTAACTAGCTTGGCTGAGAGATACCAAGAGTGAACTTAGGGTGGCAGGAAATAGCTTCAGGCTGAGCTGTTCAAACGAGGTGGTGGGGAGGCAAGACAGAGGAGTGTGCCTGTCAAGTTTTTCCTTTCAGTGACCCAGAAACTCTGAAATCAGCCTCCGAAGGGAGTAACAGAATATCCAAAAACATTACTCTCAACACCCTTTGTTTTGCAAATGCAAAACAGAATAGCACATTCGCTAATGGTCCAGTCCTCTCTGAAATGTCTTTCATGTTAGATTCCCATTTGAATAGATCTGTTTGCCCTCAGTTGAGTTAAGGATAAAAACATAGACCATTGTTATAAGATTCTACTGCAATTTCATAAGTATCTTTTCTTGTTTTTTCATAAGTTCTCATATACTACTAAATTAAAACAGGAAGTAAGGCATACGTGTCCCTGCCACCCGTAGGAGTTAATTCATTGTTTCTGGTGACCCAGAACTTCTTGTCCTGTCCTCAGGAACTTGTAACAAAATATTGTCTGTGTACTTGTCCCCAGACAGTACTCTCCTCATTCCCATTGCTTTGCAAACAAGATAGATATCAAAACACTGCTTTATGGTCAAGTGGACTGGAGTCTACAGATGACAGTATCCTTGCCATTTCAAAGAATAGCAGGATGTTTTCCTGCTAAAACAATATTATGCAGAGTACACAAAGCTGTATTTTTTAAAAAATTATTTTTGAACATATTTTACATGATTATAAACATGGACTTTGTAGTTTTACTTTTAAAATTTAATATACAAACAACTTCTAGAGCTGTGGAGATAGCTCAGCAGCATAAGTGTCTGCCTGGCAAGTGCAAGGTCCTGAGTTTGATCTCCAGTACCACACACACACACAGAAAAAAAAAAAACAGCTTCTATATTTCTAATTGTTATGACAGTAATTGTGATTTGATGACATACTTTGTCATACAGTATATGATTCAGTTCACGTATGAATTTAAGTTTTATTTTGTTCTAAAGGTTAGAGTAAGGACAAGTAAGGACAAGTTCTTTTCCTCTTAAAATTAGGTTACCTAGACTAATAAATATATATCATTTCTGTAACTCCTGGTTCTTTGTTCTAATTTCTTTTTGATTGGTTGTGTCATTCTACAGTGTAAGTGCTCAGCCAGCTTTATTGCTGGTATTACTTTACTCCCCTCTTTGTTTTTTAATAGAAAGAAATTGTATATATTTATCATGTAGAACATGTTTTTGAAGTATATATACCTTGTGGAATGGCTGAATTGAGCTAATAATGCATTACCTTACGTATCTATGTTTTGGGGGATGAAAACACCTAAAATCTACTGTCAGTGACTTGAAGAATCCATTGTTACTAATTATCCTCACAATGTGGTAGGGTAGAAGTTCTGCTTATTTTTAGAAAAGTTGTAAGCAAAATTTAATTAAAAAAAAACTACCCACTATTACCTCAGTATTTGTTTGTTGTCTGTTTGGAGACTGCTAGCAACAATTCTAAATGTTTGCAAGCTACTTGTGTCACTTAATTTTACACAGGTGTAGTGTGTATTCCATTGTTGGTTCTCACAGCTGAAGAAACTGAAACCTGAGGTAGGCCAAGCCAAACTTTGAACCTAGTCTGATTCCAGAGCCTTGTTTTTAATCTTGCTTCACGTGATAATACATGTGATTTTTTTTTTTTTTTTTGCATTCATACAGATGTTTCCTTGATTACTTTCCTGCATATATACTTTTGCTGTTGTGGAATTATTTACTTCCCTTAAATTATAAAAAGGGAATGTATAGATCATTTTTGAGTCTTTGCTATGCTGGTTGTACCAAACTTTTACATAATATTCCTTTGAATTAATTTTTAAGATACTCTTTTTAAAAGCATTTGTAACTTAACATTCCTGAGTTTTATTTGACATTTTTACTCTTTTTGGTAACTGTATTGTAGCATTTTATTCATTCCTTCATTCATTTATGTTTTTTGAGACAGTACAGGCTGGCCTTAAACTCAGTGTAGCCCAGCCTACGCTTGAACTCACAGTGACCCTCTTGTCTCAGCCTCCCAAGTGCTGGGATTACTGGCATGTTCCACCATGCCCAACCTTACCATTTTAAAATTATTCAACATTCCAGTTTTTTCTACTTATGACATGTCCATATCATATAAATTCACAATGCATATAAAGAAGCTAAAGACTGAAATAGTTACAACGTATTTTTGGGCAGTTTTTAAAATATGTGTTTACTTTTCACTTCTACAACAAAGTTAATTTTCAAAAAATTTCTCTTTAAACATGGATGTTAGAATGAATATCCTTTATACTGAAATAAAATATGTAAAATCAGACTTAAAGGATGAGTTGTAAAGAATAAAAATCTGTTTCTGTCTCAGATTTTCAATATTTTATTGTCACACTTCTTTACAGAGATGCTGTTCAGTTAAATGTGATCGCTACACGGCAGCTCATTCTCCTGGCACAACAAATGAAGAATCTGGAAGTGTTCGTGCATGTCTCGACGGCATATGCCTACTGCAATCGAAAACATATTGATGAAGTCGTCTATCCACCCCCTGTTGATCCCAAGAAGCTGATTGATTCTTTAGAGTATGTTTGTTTGATGTTTATATACATTGCTTTATCTTTGTTGTTGTTGTTGTTGTTGTTTTGGTTTTTGGCAGAAGCAGGGATTGAACTCAGGCCCTTGTGCTTGCCAGGCAAGCACTTATTCTACTGAGCCATCTTCCTGGCCCCTATATACATTGCTCTAATCCCAAAGTTTTTTCTCATTATACTCTCTCCTCTATACACTTGCACATAACACATGTGCATATGTTTATCTGTGTATTCAACAACTAATTGCCTATCTGCCATGTTATCTTTTATTATATAGATTTATGTCTGAGTGGTAAAGTCAGTGTGGAGCTTTCACATTTGATCATGAATAATGGTTATAGAGAGGCCTCTGAATAGTTCATCCATTATACTACAGCTTCTGTTTTCCAGGTAGTCAATTTTAACCACCAGAAAGTACCTCTGGAGATCAGTAAAGGTCTAATTGAGTGAAGGCCACATACACCTTCCCTTCTTTCCCTGACCATGCAAAGGAGTATATCAGTGTTCATGAACCTTCTAGATCTTCAGTGGTGATAAACAGCTGGCTTTGGCGTGCATGCCATAGGTTTTCTGCCCTCGCTTGGAGTATATCTGTAGAGGAGTCTTTATTAGGGAACTAGAAAAGTCATCATCTTTTTAACACATACTCCTTGGATATGGCTTACCAAGGACAAGGTTCCTATCAGTAATTAATACATGAATATTGTTAAGTACATGATGGATGGATAGTAAGTGAAATGCATGTACTGTGGCCCAGTTCTTATTTTTATCAAGTGAAATAAATAAGATCAGAGGGTTTTTTTCTTCTGTAGACAATAATTAAACAACATCCAATATCCATCATATCTTCATATAATTGTTAATCTTGATATTTCTGAGCTTATGTCTCTTTTTAGCCTTTCTTTTTCATCTATTCACTTTTGATTCCTTGATCACCATCCTTTTTTTCTAAAATAGGCACACAATCTTTGTTTTGAAGGCTTTCCTGCTAATCAGTGAGGAAACACATAAGACAATTAGTAGTATCAGAGGTTACTAAGACATCCTTTGGCTAATTCTGACTTCTGTGTTATGACTCAGGTCCTCAGGTGGTCCCAAATACATACCTCATTTTTCTAACTTGTCATAAGCAAAAGTATTTACTATCTCCAGGAAAAGTTGATTATAGAAGTTAGTGAAACATACTCCTTTTTCTCTTGTTAGCATTGATATATACAAATATCTAACGGGTTGAAAATGAACTTGTAACCTGATTCTTTATTACCTTTCCTTGCTAACATAGTTTTAAGCTCTGTAAACTCAAGTCATAAAACTTACTGGTTAAACTCCTCTGGTTCTGTAGAGTTGCAGTTCTCCATTCTGCCCTCCTTTCAACTATTGCACTTTTTGTTTTGTTTTTGAGGTAGGGTCTTACTTTGTAGTCTAGGCTGCCCTTGAAGTCACTGGTGGAGCCCAGGCTTTCCTTACCCGCAATGATCCTTCTGCCTCTGTCTCCTGAGTGTTACGATTATAGCCTTGTGCCATCAAGCCCAGTTAACTATCCTAGTTTTCAAAACTCCTCTCTCTTGTGGAGTATGGACCTGTAGTTGATATTTAATGAAATTAAGACTTATTTTTGTAAAAGTTACTGTCTATTCACTTGTGTCAGAGAAATAGATATGTTTGGATGTTTAAAGTTCAGCTTAATAGTTTTTTATTCAGTAGTAAACACTTGGAAATATTTTTATATGCAATTTCTTTGTTTACAGATGGATGGATGATGGCCTAGTAAATGATATCACACCAAAATTAATAGGAGACAGACCTAATACATACATATACACAAAAGCATTGGCAGAATATGTTGTACAGCAAGAAGGAGCAAAGCTAAATGTGGCAATTGTAAGGCCGTCAATTGTTGGTGCCAGTTGGAAAGAGCCTTTTCCTGTAAGTTGTTCAAAAGTTGTATAAATAGTTGGAATTGAGGATTTTAAGCCATAGCTGTATAAAAATTTGGCAGTTTTATTGGAGAATAGATACAATGCCAAATGTGGCTTACAGTGTCATACTGTTGTTGTTCATAGAAAATACTAGTATTATTGGTACTTTCATTTCTAATGTGATGCTTTCTCGGGATTTTTCTTTTTTTTTTTTTTTTTTGGCGTAACTGGGGATTGAACTCAGGTCCATGCACTTGCCAGGGAAGCGCTTATTCCACTTAGCCATCTCCCCGGTGTGATGCTTTCTGTGTACAAATGTGAATCAGCATTTTAAAAAACCTAATCAAAAGTTACATCTAAAGCTGTGGCAATTCAACCCATCTCTGACAAAACTAAACAGAAAAAGAAGATATAAATGAAGGACCATTTTGTATCTGTATATACAAAATAAGATAGATATATAGCTACTTTCTCTTAATTCATTGAGAAGAAAGATTTGTACTAATAGTGTTTGGACAGGATATCATGTCTGCATCTTATACTATGAATAACCACTAAGACAACAATATGCAGTGTATTAATTATTGAAACTGCCCTACTAATCGGTTTTGAAACTGTCTCATTGCTATTTGTTTCTCAATAAAATTAATAAAAAAAATAAAGCTGTGGCAATTCAATAAGGACAACATGATTTAATTTGTTTTTTTTTATTATCAAAACGAGACTGGCTCTTCAAGAGGTAGATCTCTAAGAAAAAATACAAGAGATTTCTATGGTGCTGTTGTGATATTTGTAAATTCCTCGAATAAAGAAAACCAAATAATAAACTGATAAATTAGGGCCAGTGAGGTAGCTCAGTAGACTGAGTTGGCCACCAAGACTGGCTGCAGTGGTGCAGGTGGATCATTGAGTCTGAGCTGTGCAGTGAGACCCTATACCAAATACATTAAAAAGAAAAAGGAAATAAGTTAATTTAAGAAGCACCTAGATAATATGATGATAGCATCTCTTTTATTGTATGAATAATTAATCTAGTTTCCTAGTTTACGCAGTAAATTTCTCTCTGATCAGGGTGCTCCATTAGTAAACAGCAAAAAATCAAACTTGAACAGGCTTAAATTGGCATAATTAAGTAGTGGTATACACTGCTTTTTATAAAATGTCCTTTGTGTAGAATCAGTGAAAAAGTAACCCTTTGGAAATATTTTTACTTAGTCATTTACTGTCTTAGAGGAAGATGGCTTCTATTTGTGCTGGGAAACAATATTCTGAACTGAACCTAGACTTTTTTAGTTTTTAAAAGAAAATTACAAAGTATATATTTGGAGTTGTAGATTTTAAATAATCTCGTTTCATATTTTAAACTCCCTTCACTCTCCTTTTAATTTTTGGCATTAGGGATGGATTGATAACTTTAATGGACCAAGTGGCCTCTTTATTGCAGTAAGTAAACTTTTTGATATAATTAATAATCTGTATTTTTCCTTTATTTCTTTTTAAATCAGATATACATACACAAGCACACTTGTTCTTGTATATCCTAAGGTGTTGTTTTTAATTTCAACAAAGGCAGGGAAAGGAATTCTTCGAACAATGCGTGCCTCCAACAACGCCCTGGCAGATCTTGTTCCCGTAGATGTAGTTGTCAACACAAGTCTTGCGGCAGCCTGGTACTCTGGAGTTAATAGGTATGTGAGGTGGTATGTTGCTTAGTAAATATATATGAGAAGGAAAATTGGAACTACTAATGTTAATTCTGTGGTCCCAATATTGCCAAACCAACATGTAGGTAATATTGCTGCCAAATGCACATGTTGCTGTATTGCAGCCAATAGCTCATGAACCAGTGGGCAGACCATCAGTGGTAGTAAGAAAATTAGTTAATTGTCATGTACACTTTACAGAACATATAAATTCATGAGTGATTAAATGTGGGGGGAAGGACTGGGGAATAGCTCAGTGGAGTGCGTGCTTTCCTGGCACGTACAAGGTCCTGAGTTTGATCCCTAATACCACCAAAAAAAAAAAAAAAAAAAAAAAGTGAGGGCAAAAGCCCTCCCCAAAGATGATAATCCTAACTAATAATCCGAACTTAAATTTGAAAAGTTGAAATTCAGAGAATGGTGTGTGTGTGTGTGTGTGTGTATCAATGTGTGATTATCCCATGGTAAAGCAATAACAACATTTATAGGAAACATCTGAACCTTAAGGTGCCTTTCAAAGTTAATAAATTGCTCTTATTTTTGAAGTCAGTATTTTATATCTTTAAAAAAGGTATGATTGTATTAATATGTTATTTTGGGAAAAGAGAACTTGATCCACAATTTTTCAGCTTGAGCTTCTGAAAATGAGGAGTTAAGGTTGATTGTGTTGTTTTCCTTACTTTTGAAAACAGGACATTTCTAATATAAAGGAAAAAACAATGTGAAAAGAAAGTCTATACTTACAATTTTGGAGGGGAGAGGAGGAATATATCGAAGTTGAACATTACAAGCATGAATACAACATAATCAGTATAGAAAGTACCTGTTCCCTGAGATCTTCCTACTTCAGTATTGTGTGGATTGTTTGGGCTCCTGTTTCATGGCTTTCATCTTTGTCTTTGCAGACCAAGAAACATCATGGTGTACAACTGTACAACGGGTAGCACCAATCCTTTTCACTGGGGTGAAGTTGGTATGATTTTATCAGTGTTTTTGAATGCTAGATAGATGTGAAAGAATTTTAAATGTCCATTCAGTTTTTAATGCACCTGTGAGTGTGGCACTAAGGCCACCCAGGTATGAGTTTATTCTTATTTTACTTGCCATCTTAGAATAGTAGTGACCAATGCTGCCTGGTGGTCCATTCTTCATAATGTTTCACAAATGTCAAAATACCCCGCTACGTATATTCGTATTCACTCCACCTAGACCAAGCTTCACTGTGTTCTGTTGCCATCTGCAGCAGCCCTTACGGATGGAAACAGTACATTTTTCTCTTGTATGAGAACCCAGTCTTGATACTGCCAAATCCAAAGCAGTATTACTACCACTTAGCATAGTTGGTTTATCAAGTTGCTTTTAGAGTAGTAAATGAAAGAGTTAGAATACATATTGTCAGAATATGTGTGCTGCTGGCCTTTCTTATTAAAATTTACACCACAGTATGTATGTTACTAGATTTAAAATAGAAATAGTATAACCTAAGGTTATTGCAAATGAATCATTTTTAAATGGATTATTTATTTTGTATTTAAAGTAAATTTATGGCATTGCTGTAGAAATAGGTCTTACCGCTAACTGAATAATTTTTGTAATTCCTGCAGAATAATTTTGATTTTAAAGATCTTCCATGACATTTGGTCTTAGGGTTTTCCTATGGTATTTTTACTTAAATTTAAAGATTAACATTGAAGCATATAAAAATAAAATTAAGGGTGATTTTATATTATTTTAGTATTTTAATAACATTGAGACACTTTAAAATGAGTGAATTTTTTTAAGTCTTCCATTGCGTTACAAAATTTAGTGAAAAGCCAACTGAAGCATTTTTTAGTGATGATCTTAATATACATTTCTGTTAAAGTACTGACATAGATGACACCAAGTTTGTGTTGACAGTGAGTAACCTAAATAAATTATAACAGAGATTGGTTTTGACTTGTTTTAAGCTTGTTGGATGTATGTTAACTTGATCATCTTAATTATAAGCAAAGGATGATGATTTTCCTTTTCTTTTTTAAGTAAGTACAATAATAAGAATCTGGAAAGAGGAACAGAAAGAAAGAAGCTATCGTGAGAGGTGACATAGGAAGTGACATACACTGTAAACTGACATGGGTAAAACATTACAAAGATTTTAAGAGTGAATTTTAGTAAAAAATCATTCATCTAATTAAAATTCCAAACTAGTGGCAGTTTTTAAACCACTTAAGTTCAGCAATCTAATACTCATATTCTCTTAGCTACTATAGAGTAGAAAAGTTTGTTTTTTTAAATGAAGAATATTTGACATCTTTGGTGAAAATATTTTACATTGTAAAAACATAATTTTTTTCAAAACTTCATTACATGGTTATTATCAAAGCTGTTACACAACTTTTCTTCCTCAGAATACCATGTAATTTCCACTTTCAAGAGGAATCCTCTCGAACAGGCCTTCAGACGGCCCAATGTAAATCTAACCTCCAATCACCTTTTATATCATTACTGGATTGCTGTAAGCCATAAGGCCCCAGCATTCCTGTATGATATCTACCTCAGGATGACTGGAAGAAGCCCAAGGTAATGGTGACTAGCTCTGTCTTACCTGTTCCTCTGACTGTTAAACACCCATGCTTACACTAAAATGCCTATTAACTCTGTATCTGTTTATGCTTATGATAAGGCTTAATGGCCTTTTGTGAATGAGAAGACACTCGAATTTAAGACTTTGTCAGGAAAGCAAAGGTAGTGTTGTCACTCTAACTTGTTCTAAAGTTTGGATGATAAGTTGTCATTTGTTGAATTCTAGGTCTTACTTTAGGTACTTTTCTGAATAATAATATTCAAAATGCTTTGATGCTTTTCCTACAGGGTGTTATGTAATTCATTACTTCAGGATGAATCCTTATAACCAAGTATTCAGGCACCCCAATATTAAGTTCTGTTCCAACAACCTGTTGTTTCATTATTGGAAAGGTGTCAGACATACAGTGCCTGCATTATTGCTCGATCTTGCTCTCAGGTTGACAGGTCAGAAACCGCGGTAAGAAGAATAGCAGTAAATACACTTTATTGGTAAGGTGGTGGAAGCTTGCTGGAGAGACAAAAAGTCGCTAGCATGAGCTTTACCTTTAGAGCTACTAACCTGATGAATCACAATCACAATCAAGATGGTAGGACATTTCTTAGAAATTTGAGTAATTCAGGGAGACTGGATCTCATCTTATGGGGTCCATTGACCCACTCAAATCCCATAATGTAGGAAATGTCCTACATCCAGGGTTGTCATTGTTATTATAAGCTGAAATTGAGCCCTTTATCCTTTCCCCCTTAAAAACGTAGGAGTGAGTTTATACAGGGGGTTAAGTGTAAAATGTTTTGCTTTAGGTTGTTGGTATAGTTTTATTTGGAAAGTATAGGAGATTTCTAGAAAATTAATTAAAATATTTTATCTGCCCATTCAGCTTATAATATGTTAATTACAGTTTTTGACTAATTTTGCAGGTTGGGGATGACATAATTTTAAAAAATAACAAATGCGAAACCTTATATTTTATTATACTTGTAGCCTTTCTTTCTTTTTCTTTCTCTCTCTCTTTCTTTCCTTTTTTTTTAATTGAAGCTCCACAAAAAGTTCTGTCCTTACCACACAGTCACAGTGAAATATACTGTAAAAATATTTATTGTATTTAATTACATTGGTATTACAGTGGACCTTTGAATGGGGAGTTCAGGATTTGAGTATTTGTGTAGATAAAGAAGATGCTGATTCCAGAACTTCCAGCAGCTGCTCAAAAATAAAAGTGAGGTATCTGTCAGTGGCAGTGTGTCAGGAGCTGAGTTAATTATAGCTGTTTCCTGTGAGTTTGCTTGCCATGGTATTCTTAACCCTTATATTAATCATTGAAATATGTGAGAAGTGTTGAATAACTTTAAAGAAAATGTTTTTAAGTTTTTCTAGGATGATCTGTAAAATAGAATGTTTACCATTCACAGCGTTCATTTATGGCTAAAAAGCAAGTGCAAATGATATATTTTCTGTACATTAGGGCAGAAAAATAAAAACTGGTTCCAAAAAAATAAGAGGTTAAATATATCGCATTGCCTTATACAGCAGATGGGGGCTCAGGAAACCAAAAAAAAAAAAAACAACCCTAACCATATTTACTAAGTGGTTCAGAGTACATATTGCTGCATAGTAAGTGATTTGAAATGATCACTTTAATTATTTTTCAATATATTTCTCTCAGAATCTGGAATTTGAGAAGAAATCAGCTGGGTAGTCTTGGATGGGGGTCTTTCATGTTGTTGCCAGATGAACTGGAAGAGCTGCAGTATGCTGTGGGCGCCATGAAGTAGCTAGGGCCGAGAGCCACCAACTTCCTTCCTTGTCAGCGTCTCTTCATATGGGGTCTGGGCAAGGCCCAGCGGAAGCATTGAGGAAGTTAAACTTTTAATTTGTATGACCCCTGAAGGCATCACAGGGCAGGTATTTCAGCAAGAAAGAGAGAAGCTACTTTGCCTTTTTTGCCCCACCTAAGGAAGTCACGCATTATCACTTTTTCCTTATACCCCTCCCTAATCACACATTCTATGAGATTCAAGGAAAGGGAATGTGGAAAATGATCAGATCATACTATAAGCGGACAAATGAGACAGAGGGCATATTGAGTCATTTTGGAAAGTGCAGTTCGCTACAGTCACCCTTCTGGTCAAAACAATTCATATTTCTCCAACATGGAAAGTATAACTACTTGTATCCAGTCTCTCTCCACATCCGAGGGGCATCAGCTCAAAGCCAGGGTTTTGTCATTTAAATTTGATCCTATTGCAAATTAGACTATTTTGAATTGGTATTATAGATAGGGCTTCCAAATAGACTGCCTTAAGTATTAATCTGAAAGTGTATGAATTCAAGTTATCATCTCCTGATACATGCAGACATGCGACAACAAGAAACAGAAAGCAAAGGCCTCAGGGTTCAGAAACATGGGTGACACAGTAAACCCTGATGCACAACAGTTCTGACTTCCAGTCAGGTGTGTGTTGATGATTTCCTTGATTAGAACTCAGTCCTATGCTCTGGAACATTGCAGAGACTTCTGATTCTGCTCACTTGAGTCATCCTTTTTCCATAAAAAAATGATGTATGAAATGAATTAGCCTACTTATCTTGCTGCTTTTTTCTAGAAATTTAAATGTCCTAGGCAGGGTCACCAAATATTTCTTGGAAGAGGCCATGTAGTAAACACTTGAGGTTTTGTGTATGTGTTGGATTCTTTTGCTACTACTCAACTCTGCTGTTGAAAAAATGAAAGCAAGCTGTGTGCAGTGGTCGTACTGTAGTTCTAGCTACCCACCTGTTAACCCAGCTACTTGTGTACTTGAGGCAGGAGGATCTCAAGTTCATTGCTAACTTGGGCAGCTTAGCAACATCCTGTCTCAAAAAAGAGGTTGACATGACCATGTTCCAGTAAAAGCGTATGTATAAAAATAGGTGGAAGGATGGATTTGCTGGGTAGGCCTTGGTTTGCTGGTCCTTGATACAGAGACCTGTTTTCACTGTCCTTCTACAGGTAAAATGATGTGGTCATTTTAAAAAATTATAAAGGGTATGTGTATTTTAAAGTAACCCACTCCATCAGACAGACTCCATATTCACAGATCTCTTTGAGATAAGGTCTTCTTGATGTAGGGTCTCAGGTTGTTGTGAACAGTCCCTTTAAGTCAGATCCTTGCTCTTGAGTCCTGCCTTTCATACAGTAGTGTTTCTATGATACATGTCTTTAAGGTCTGAAGAAAGCCTTGGCTGTCTGAAAGATTGTAGGAAACACTACTTTAGGTCATTCTAACATCTTAACAATGAATGTTTCATCTCTACTCGACAGGTAACCTTCTGTGCTTAGAAACCATTCCTTAAAGAATTCCGTATTGGCGCTTTTCATACTATGATCATTAACTTGAGTGTGTCAGTTTGCTTGGCTTCTGGCAGTGTCTTGAGTGGCTCGTGGCAGTGTGCCTTGGGTACCGTACATGGTCCCTTGCCTAATGCCCCTGGGTGCTGCTGTGCTTCCCAGCCATCGTGAAATAAACGCCGTTGCTCCACTCTGCCTTTTTACCGTGATACTTCTGCCTTGGAGCCAGCTTAGCACAGACAGAATCCCTTTAAAATGTGAACCAAATTAAACCTCTCTTCCTTTAAGTTGTGGGCATTGGGTGTTATTTCCAGCAGTGGGAATAGCTGACTACCTCACATTCTTTCCATTTCATTCAACAAATAGTTCTTTTTTATAAGATCCAGTTTGTTTTTCAAGAAACATTGGCCGGATTGAGTTTTATTGGCTGTAGTTTCTATTATCCTCCATGTTACCACAAGTGATGGTTTTGTTGTTTCTTCCCTGGGTGTTGAACCCAGAACCTTGCACGTGCTAGCTGAGTGCTGTACTGTGGAGCTACAGCCAGTCTCTGTTTTCTTCTCTTCCTCAAAGTGCTTCAAATCTTCCACCACTAGCATTCTTTTCTTGGTCCATTCACATTTCAGCGATGAGCTCCTTAGATGTCCTCCAGGTTTTGTCTACCGCCTAATCCTAAAGCTAATAGTGTATGTTTCAGATTTTATTTTAGTAGCCTGTAAGCCCTGTTATGTTTTCAGTGTTCTATTGTCAGTCACCGCAAACTTAGTGTTTACAAAAATGTTACTTAAAATACGTGTCAAGATTTCTGAGGGTCAGGAATTCTGAAGGGCTTGGCTGGGTGATTCTGGCTGAGGGTCTTTTTAAATGATGGCAGCAGGACAGATACTGGGGCAGGTAGGCTGTGGGTAGAGAGGAGGAAGCAGGAAGAGGAACTGGGATGGCCGGGCCTCTCTTCATGAGCCTGAGAGCCTCTCCGTGTGTTCTCTGCACTTGGGCTAGTTAGAGCTCCCTTGCAGCATGACAGCCTCGGGGCAGTGGACAGCATCGTGGTACTGCCCGAAGGCTTCAGGTTGAGTATTCCAGTGAGCAGGGCAGAAAACTATTATCACCTTTTCTCCTGTAGCCTCAGAAGTTGCACGGTTCATTTCTGCTTTCTTCTCTTAGCTTTAAATTACATTTGCCTCTTGATGGGTGGTGGAAGATAATCTAGGTGACACCGCAGGTAAACACATAGAAAGGGAGATGGTACTGCAGCCATCTTTGGAAATTAAAATATTCCCTAAATCAGAAGCACCCATCAATCTCGCCTGACATTTGTCCTGAATAAGGCGTTCTGAGTATTGATGGAGGAGGAATGATCTTTGACTTCTTTGAGTGCAGTATAGATTAAAAGTAATAAGGGCTATAAATTTTTTTAATTTAGGCAATTTTATTATAAATGTTAAGTAAATAATCTTACAATTTATATTATTTGATTTCATCAGGTATTTTGTGAGCCACGGCATTGAGCTCTCTATATTGAGACCCCAATATAATGCCTAATAAACTCAAGTCATTCACAGTATCCCTTTTACTCACATCAACTACATAAAAATCAGCCTTGCTGTATATCTTAACATAATTATGAACAGTGTAACTCTGATGTGATGTACATCATGCAGTTTCTTGGTTAATAGCTGAGACCAGGATATTTGGTCCTGCATGTAGAAACAGTGTAAGTTATTCAAAATTTTGTGATAATAACATTGTGTCACTCTTGGAAACATCTAAACATAAGGCTTTGTGGTCTTGCTTATGGTTATGTATAATAACTGTGGCTTGATTTCCCTGAACTTGCTATTTTTTTCTGTGTGGCTCTTGGCTGGGGACATGTTAGAGCTATTTTTAGCTATCACAGTGAGTGTTGGGGGGATGCTGCTGGCATCTAGTAGGTAGAGACCATGGGTGCTGCTGAGCATTGTCATGGTACTTACAACAGCCTTCCCCCCAAGAGTTATCTGATTCAGCATATATTATAGATGAGGTTAAGAAACCTGAGATCAAATGATCAGTAAGATCTTACCCTACTCTAAAGGACTGTGATGATATTTTGAAGGTTGGCATAATAAAGAATACTCAGACTGTCTATGGCATGTAGTCAGTATTCAGTGACATGTTTAGTCAAAGAATAGTAGTGTAGAGATTTTCTTTTTATCCTTCACAGTATTCAGTCCAGTACTTTTGTTGCCTGATATAATATTCTCTCAGTTTTTTTATCTATTTGGCCTTTTGGTCCCTTCCTCAATTTTTATAGCAGTTATTTTTGGAATGGCTGGATTAGGGTGGACTTCAGGATTAATTCAGTTTCTTGATTCAATCTGAAAATGGATTAGGTGAAAATTGCCAAGGAGTTGGGAAGAAAAACTTTTAAATATAGATTTTGGAAACCCATATTAAATGTGTATGTGTTTATGTGTGGTAAGATTCAAATACACTGTACTAGCTATGATAGCATGTATTGAATAATGCATTGATAATACCACATTTTAAAAAGCATTTTCCCCCTAAAAATGTTGTATGTCTTTGGCCCTGCCCTCGGGTTCTTTCTGTGTGAACTATTCCTGTCCAGATACAGCCTTTGATGTTTGATAATTTTTCTTCATATTTAATGGATGTTTAGTTTTGGAATTTATTGAGTGAAGTAGTTTTTTCTTTAGATAGTCAGTGTTGCTTTATTTATTTTTTCAGTATTGTGGATTCAAAGTTTCTTTCTTTCTATTTATTTATTTATTTATTTATTTTCAAAGTTTCTTTCTAAATGTATGTGTTACCCAGCATTGGTTAGCTGATGACATTGTTTTAATTTTCCTATTTCAAACTTGACTTTCTCCCAATATTCCCTATTTCTAAAGCCCCAAACTTAGGGATTTTCTAAACTACACAGAATACTAGTTCATACTGTGGAAATATAAATGGAATTATTTTCAAGTATTCCTCCAGGATTATTTTTCTGTCTTTAGAATTTGGGATTTTTTTTTTTTTTTAATGTGTATTTCAAAAAGTTTTTTCTTCTCTTTCCCTACTTCATAGGTAATGTCATATAGCTGTTACTGCTGAGCTTAATATGCTATGGTATCAATGACTTGCAATGAGTACTAATAAAATGATGGGTACAAAGATTATGGCTCCTTGCCCTTTTTAATAACTAACAAGTATTGACCTTCAGTAAGGGGGATTTTGGTAAGGATTGTAGGGAGAGGAGCGAATATCTGTTTCACAAGTATTCAGCGTGAGTCATTGATTTCACAGCACATACAGATAATCAAGATTGGGGCCAATCAGTATTAAAAGGAAAGTTTTTGTGTATGTGTGTATATGTATATATATATATATATATTTTTTAATAAAGTTGACTAAATGACAATGAGGATTTCTGCATACTTTGCTTCTATAATGATGAAGAGTTGGGATTATAACAAAGTATGTTATGAATTCACAGGAAGTCTTAGTAAATGCAGCTGAACTAAAATGCAAAGAACAAAAAGCAAGGTAAAATGAAATCATTTATTTGTTTAATATTTTATACATTAATTTTGTTAGTAAAGGTATTAGATAGATGTTGAGAATTTCATATGTGAGCAGAACTCTAGCAGTATCAAATTCATTTGCTGCTACTTCAAAAAGTTTTGTTTTGGCTTTTTCTTCCATTTTGGTTTTATAAAATGTTTCATAAGATGCAGAAATACTCTTATTCCCTGCTGTTTTGTTTTACTTACTGAATTACATATTATACTTTTAATGTTGATTTCTGTATTGGGGAAAACTGTTACTGTTTGGATGGTGACGGCACTATATGAATCTACTCATTTTTGTCATACAGGATGATGAAAACAATAACTCGTCTTCACAAAGCTATGGTGTTTCTTGAATATTTCACAAGTAATTCTTGGGTTTGGAATACTGATAATGTCACTATGTTAATGAATCAACTAAACCCTGAAGATAAAAAGGCAAGTATTATCTATTTTATCTTAGAAAATAAGTAGCATACCAATTAGAGAACCATTAAGCAACCTAAGAAATAGATTTTATGTACTACAGTTATGCAACAAGAAAGTTATGGATCTATTTGTAGTCTCGTTAGCTTCAATCATAATTGTTGGTGAAGAGATAAAAACTGCTTTATCTTATGATGTATAAAGTATTTTACAGTGTCAAAAGCATTTCAGAATAGTATCTCCTTTTCCTATACTTGAGTCAGAGAACTTAACATCTATGTTTTCCCTTCAAATGCCTGTTGACTGAGTTTTGAAAAAAAAAAAAGTTCACAATTGTTTTTCATACTTTTACTTTTTGTCACTCCATATTTTCTCTCTGCTCATTTGAAACTTAAGTTCTTTGTATGTGTTCTTTTTGAGGTTATCCTACGTATTTTAACATGTATACCTAACAGTCTAAATGAAGCAGTTTCCATGGCCTCCTCTGTTTAGGACTTTAAAATGTTTTTGTTGTGATTACTACCTCCAACCATACACCTGCTGCATTTGTACATTTTAGCTGTTTAAGCCCTACAGAGTTTTGTTCATTCAGTTTTTTAGACTTAGCTATGTTTACCAATGTCTTTGTTCTGAAATCTGTGATCTTTATGTTTTGTATTGTACCTGCTATATACATTAGAATACAGTTTAGTTCATGATTTTTGGTGGTTAACTTGTAGCTTTTTTTTTGGCGGAATTGGGGATTGAACTCACTCTTGTGCTTGCCAGGGAAGCACTTATTCTACTGAGCCATCTTCCCAGCCCCAACTTGTAGCTTTTGATTGTGACTGTAGGTTTTATAACTGAGTTCAGCACATTAAAGATAACTTTCTTTTTTATGTTTTTGTCTATATTCCTTTTTTTATAGAAAGTTAATCATTCCCGGCTTCTTTTCACATTTTACTTTTATGCTTGGTGTTGTGGTATAAAAATATGTCTGTGGTTTTTATTTATTTATTTATTTTTTGGGTTCAGGTGGTGGCCTCTTTGCCTGATGGGCAAAGGACCTGTACAACAGTAGAGGTGTTTACTTATACCTTTGCAAAATTAGTACCAGGAGACACAAGGTTGCCTAGCGACTAATGGCTGAAATTGTCCAGGCAGGATGCCTGTCTCGAGACGTAGGTAGTGCGACTGCTTTAGGCACTGTGGCCTTGTCCTGTCCTCTCATATACTGCTGATTTGCAGCTACAGTCACTTCTGATGACTTTCAGTTCTTTGTGTCTGTGATAGCACAGCTGAGGACCAACAATGACCCATAGGGAAGCCCGGCTCTTCAGGTAGAAATTCGCTGTATGTGGTCAGCCGGCCACCACCCTGGGTCTCTCGAGCACTGGAATGGAGCGCGGCCTCAAAGTGTCTGTTCCGTTTCTTGTCCTCATCCTTTAGTTCTTCACTGCCCAGCATCAGATTGAAGCAACTCTGGACTTCGATATGGATTTAAGAGAAAAGGTGCAAGAGAGTCAACAGGTGTATGTTTTATTGGTGTGGGATACAGCATTCCTGGCCTTATGCAAATCTACGGGTGTATGGTGCATGCACGTGGGTGTCTGCAGGCACATATATATGCATTTGCACCTATAGGAGTGTGATACGTGCATGGTACACACTGAGAATTCACTTCCCTTCCTCAAACCAGCCATATCAATTAAGAAGGAACTCATATTCTTAAAGAAAAAAACAAGTCTGGTTTCTTCGCCTATCTTGACAAGCAAGGACACCCAGATTCTTTCAAGGAGATCTATGTATTTCAGCTATAAATCTTAAAAGATGTACCTGATGACCACCAGTTGCCATCCTTCCTGCTGTCGAGAAGGGCACCAAGGAAGGACGCCAATATCTGGTTGGCATGGAGAGGAGGAGGATGTGGAAAGAGAACTCCGGGGCCCAGTCAGGCAGGTTTTTTTT